ACTCTTTTTTCTCTCCAGTCCATCACACCTATTCCCGACTTGACTACCTTTTAATCTCCCATCAGGCACTTCCTTCTGTTGTCTCTGCACAAATTGATGTTATTTATTTTTTTCTGATCATGCCCCAGTTCATCTTACTCTTTGGTTAGATTTGACTGTGCGAGGCCCTCCCTCGTGGAAACTAAAGAAGACCCTTCTCCAATCACCTGACAATTGCGCCACATTGCAGGCGGCATTAGTGGAGTACTTTGCGGTCAATTGTGATTTAATCAACAACCCTCTAGTAGTGTGGGAGGCACATAAACGGGTAATTCGGGGCATATTGATCCATATCGGGTCGCGCCTTAAAAAGGAACGTTCACATCAGATTGACAAACTTCTGGCTGAATTGCGCAGACTTGAGCAATCTCATAAAGGAACGTTAGCACGTGCCACCTACCAAGAACTCTCAAAATTCCTGGAGGACCTGCGGTCCCTCCTTGACCATAAAACAAAGCAAAAGCTGGCTTGGGCCCATCGCTCTATGTATGAATTTTCTAATAAGCCAGGTATCCTGTTGGCTTGGGCTCTTCGAGGTCCATGAGCCAAAACCTACATTCCTCACATACAAACCACGTCTGGATAGAAGCTGACCACCTCCACCGAGATGGCAGCTGAATTTTACAGTTTCTATCAAGACCTTTAAAATCTAGATTACTCTGCCCAAGCTGCTACCCCCGCTGACACCGCTGCCAACAATATAATCTTACATCACAGCCTCGGGCATGCCTTCTCTCCCTCCTGAGGTTTGTGAGGAGCTAGAAGAGCTCACCTCACCCTTGCCTATTATAGGACTTTTTTCAAAGTTCTCTCTCCCCATTTGGTCCCTGCATTAAACTCTATTGTTCAGGGAAAACGCATGCCACAGGATGCTCTTCAGGCCTACATCTTGTTAATACCTAAAGAAGGTAAGGACCCTTCCAGGTGTGGTAATTACCGGCCAATAGCCCTTCTAAACTCTGACCTGAAATTATTTGCCAGGATCCTCGTTAATAGGTTACTCTCCCATATACTGTATCTTGTTCATCGGGACGCAGAGATAAAACGATTAGAGTCCTCAACCTAATACACGTGGTCAAGACCTCCCATCGGTCCCTTCTCTTGCTGTCTACAGACGCAGAGAAGGCTCTTGACAGGGTCAACTGGCAGTTCATCCACGCCACTCTGCAACACATTGTGTTAGGGCCTGCTATGTTATCTTGGATCTCTTCCCTCTATTCCTGCCCGTCGGTTGCCATTAAAGTGAATGAAACCAGGTCTGATTTTTTTGAGATCTCAAATGGTGCTTGGTGGAGAGAAAGAGCTGTCTGCAGGGTTGAATTACCAGGGTGACCAGTAGAGGACACATGGGAGGGGATGGAGAAACATTGCCAGCCCTGACCTTTGTCTACAAGGTCCTGTGGCTTGGTTTAGGATTGTCTCAGGGACTAAGTAAACAGCACTCTATGTGTGACAATCACTTGTGTGGTAACATTTGGGAAAATGTCTACCATAGTACTGTGACTATACCGAGTGTTCTGCACTAAAAAAATATTACTGTTGGGAAGTTGTGTTAATGACTGTTGTTTGGTGAAGAAGAAATGTCATTGTGCCAGTGTGACTGACGGTTTTCAGTACAGAATTGAAAATGCTTTTGCATTGGACATTCTTTATTCCAAGTAACAGGCCACAGACCAGGAATATGTGAGAGGACATGCCTCAGGCCAGGAAGTAATTGACACAAGATGGCAGAGTAATTCCACAAAACAGGTAGGTAACTATCCCATCCAAGAATAAGAGGGGTGGGTCCGGAATTAGCTTGGCGGGAACCACCACCCAATATGGAACCATAACACATTGACCTTGCTGAGGATTTTGACTTTGCCTTTTCTCTTTACACTGGTTTTTACATTAATTTTCTTGTTGTTGTTACCCCTGCAAGTTTATCTACTTTCTTGTTTTATCTGATTTTTTTGGAGGGGGGGTTATGTCCAATTTGTCCTAGTTACATAATCAAATGTCCCAGAGGTCTCCAAGTGCCATTACAGGGTTATAAAGTAAGGTTGCCATTTGTCTCCATTTCCAAGGAGTGTCCCCAAGAACCAAGCGTGCCCAGGTAGTGTACAATTTGTAGAGCGCATGCTCCAACCAGTCACACTGCTAAATCTGCAACTGAAAAATGGGGCTGCTAAAAGAGCCTGTGCATGCATTGTGATTCATGCTGCTGCGCATGTGCAAACTGCTTCAACCATGCTATTTTAGATTTAAGCTTGCACTGTGATGAGTTGGATTCTGTGCACTGCAAATACATAACCTGGTGGCTTCCAGCGATGATGCTGCAATCTTGCAATATTGAAATGAAATTAGAGTCTGCGCCTCGGGTGAGTCTGTGTCCTCTGCCAGGGTGACCTGCTTGCGCACCTATCCAACTGGTCAGTGGGAGCCTCTTACTGCTATCGCTACCGGTCTTGGAGACTGAACTCTTGACTGTAACACAACGCATTACATACGGTTGTGCTCAAAAGTTTGCATACTCTTGGAGAACTGGAAATATACAGTACCATTTTTAAAGAAAACATGAGTGAGCAGGCAAAACACATTTCTTTTATTTCTGTGGGATTCCTATTCAACTGTAGGACATAACAGAATGACACAATCATAAAACAAAACATGGTAACAAGTATACAAATTAAATTACCCCTGTTCAAAAATCTGCATACTCTTAGTTTCTAATACTGTGCATTGCCCCCTTTATCATCAATGACAGGGTGCAGTCTTTTGTAATAGTTGTTGTGCTATTGCACTTCTAATTGAAGAAAAGTAATTTAAAAACCATGAGACAACTAAAACTACATTTTCTATAGTTCTCATCAAAGTAATAGTACAGCGGAAAAATACCATTTATCAAAAGAAGCAACATAAAATAATTTAAAATCCAAAGCAGCCATTTCTGTCATTGAGGTACATTGTTCATAACCCATATGACTATACAACTATACAACGAAAGTACTTGTTTAAGAATGTGTAGCCAATACTCATCAACATGTTGTGAACCATGAAAATGCTCCCATCATGCACCAGAATTTTTCATCTATTTTGTTCCTTGTTGTGCAGTCATTCAGTTTGATCTATTGGCAGATGTCAAGTATTGAATGCTCTCCCGCTGTGAGAAAATGTGGCAGAAATATTCATATTAACTGATTTCACTAGTTTTTCCTTAAACAAGGAACAAACTATAGTAATTCCAATGTCTGGAGTTATGATTTAAAGTAGATCTAAACCCTATGTTTGTAAGCATAAAATGCTGTGTATGATAAAAAAAAATCTCTTGTAGCAATCACCTCTGATGGACCCGCTGATGTTTGGGTCCCCTATTTCTGGATACCAATGATCTTCCCAGCATTGCCACACCCCTCAGACACACCAAAGTTAGATGAGGAATACTTATTTGGGTAAGTATTACCAATGGGCAAAAAAATTTATTGTAACAACACCAACTGAACAAACAAATGTCTCTGCTCCTGAACCCTAAAACCAGGAATGTCCAAATTAAGGGGTGATATTGGGATTTAAAGGTCCATCAGTCTCTACAAACTCCTTCCACTGGCCAGTGTATTGGTAATCATTCAGGTCAAAAGTTCTGGCATTGGAGTGCTCAATTTGGGGGGGAATTCTACAAAACTGGGCATGGTTGCTCAAGCTGTATTCTAAAAATAAGTGACCTTTTAAGAAGTGAGTAGGAAGTTGTAGCCCACCAAATGAGCAATGATTACACCTTTTCCTGCTATCTGTCTGAAACCAGTGATGTTGGCTGTGTCTCAGCACTTGGCAAATATGATATCCCAAGGAACTAATTAAATCAGCAATGGCTCATTGACTCAGGATCCAGGATGATGATCTCTCAGAAGATTGGTCATATCAGCAGAGACTCAGGACCTGACAATGAGTGTTTCTCACAGCTGTGACCTCTGGGTAGACATAACAGCAGAGTCTCTCTCTCTCTGTTCTCTATCTGTAGTGATCACCTTTTGGTCCCCACAAGACTTCCCCAAGCCCTAGGCTTCCTTCACTTTCCTACTGCAGCTCTCTGGTCTCCTTTTGACTTGTAGTCCTGTACTGTCCTTGACTTAATGTAAAGATGTCTTCTGGGGACTACATTTCCCATAGTCCCTGGAAGTTACCAGCAGCCCTCTTTTCTCCCATGCTACACAGCAGCCAATCACAGCTTTACAAGTGCTCTGTTCCAGCTCTCCCTCCTCCTTAACTCACTGGCAGCCGAAGAGAGGGAGAACAGCTACAGCACCAACTGTGTACAGGGTGTCCCTAAAGTCTGGGCACATAGGCAAAATGCATATTTTCAATAAATTTAAATACATTTTTCAACAACATTTTATTTAATTTGAATATTAATCAATAACATCTTCAATGTGATTTCTACCATTTGTGATGCAAGGTTCCATGCACTTTTCAAGATTCACATGAATCCGATGCAGTAACTCACATTTTTGTCAATTCCTTCAGGTGATTCATATCTGTGATTTTTATTGAGTATACTTTCTCCTTTAGCATACCCCAAAAAAGAAGTCAAGGGGGTTAAGGTATGGTGAGCTTATATATTGATATATTATACATGTAGATATACGCATATAGTGATATTTCCTATGTGTTCACTCTTTAGGGACACCCTGAATGTGGCATTTTGGTGACAGCCCAGTCTGTGTGGTGGCAGGTGGGAAACTCACAGACAGGGGCTACACTTTTATTATTTTTGTATAAAACATTGGTGTCACCTTTGTACCTGTCACATACCTGGTTGGGGAGCCTGACGTGGAGAGGAGGCGTCCTCTTACTACTCCCACTCGGAGCCCCTGATAGTGGGAACAGAGGGCACAGAGCCAGGAGTGGCACGAGTTCCGGATGGGTCTGGATTGGTGGCAAGCAGGTGAAGACCAAGAGATCTGGATACAGGCCAGCTGTGGATGCAGGAACGTGGGTGCAGCAGCAGGTAGGAATGGTGGAAATCAGGATGCAGACCGGGAAAGGACACAGGAGTTGGATGCGGCAGCAGGCAGGTATGGCGGTAACCAGGATGCAGGCCAGGTGCAGGACCGTGTGTGCAGCAGCAGGTAAGTATGGCAGCAATCAGGAAACAGGCAAGGTGCAGATACAGGTAACTAGGTGCAGCAGAGTCAGACAAGCTGGGTCAGGATCAAACGAGCAAATGAAGTACAAGGGAGCAGGCAAGCGGATAGTCAGAGATAAGCCAGGGTTGGTGCAGGTGGAGTTCTTTCTTAGTCAGAGTCAGATCAGATATAGGCAACAGGATCAGGTTATGGAGTGCAGAATGTTATAGACCAGAAGGCATTGACTACTGTAAACTGTATTGGAGGTTTAAATAGCCCGCCTTGCAGTGCTGTGGACGCTACTGCGCATGGGACGCACTGCACGCTACTGCACATGCGCGCACTCGCACACTCCTGCGCATGCGTGCCCACACGCTGCCGTGCATGCGCACTCGCACCACCGCGGCCAGAGGGGATGCGGCGCCATCGCACGGCTGCACGGAGGGAGGGATCCTGACAGTGCCATTCTTTTTTGCATCTCGGTACTGCTGGTGTTTTTCAGCCACTTCCTGCCATTGAACATTCATGTTAGCAGTAGCTACACATCAGCTTCCTGACAATAGTGAACCATGCCTGTGCAATGTGTGTTGACATAGCCAATTCTAGCCTCCATGTGGGGTGCATGTGACAATGTGACAACACAGAAACACAATGAAGACAGCTTGTCATACATAAAAACAAGTGTCTGGACAAAGAGCTGGACTGTCAGGATCACCAGGTATCATTTTAATGAAATTTAAGAAGATTGAAAAATGTTTTTGAAATGAAAGGTTATATAATATGTTTAGTGATTATGTTTGGATCTATTTGCAACACCCCTCTTGCGTGAGGTAGAGAAGTGGACTCACCTCCAGCAGGGAGAAGGCTAGCATTTACTCTAGGGTGGATCCATGGCCGCAGTAGAGAGCGTCACATGACAATGAAGGGTGCCAGTCTTTTTTTATCTTTTCCAAGTTTTATTGCTCCAGCTTCACAGGTAGAGAGGTTAGGGTTGGGTCTCCAATAGCAACCAGGACTTCCATACTCCATCAGACCAAGGGAGTGTCAGGCTCCCCTGAGGGTGGACACTTACCCCCTTCCAGTAGGACATCTTTAGGACTCTTCCACTTTAAAAGCCCTACCCTGTTCACCCAGGTATGGTAGTTTGCAGAATTTCTGTACTAGGCCCCATGCATGACTCAAGCCTACACACACTAGCACAAATCCTCCCTTTGCCTCAGCCCAGGAAAAGAGAACTCACCAAGCCACTTCAAGTGAAAAAAAACACTTCAAACTCTAAAGGACATAGCCACTCACGTTTTGTCTTTTTTAAGGGCTTTTTCCTACCCAATTTTATTAAAAGAAAGTTCAAAGTTCCAGAAATCAAAATCAGCAGGTTTCCCTCGCAGGGGTTTTCAACATTTCCATCCAAAGAAATCCATATTTAGCCCCCCCCTGGCTAACACATGCAATACCTCTGCTCTGGCCTTACCCTTTAGGACCTTTGTCTATCTGCTACAGACCATTTTCATACACAACTGTGCACATACTCAGCAGCCCCTTGCTGCTCTGTCTTCTTGGTGGAGCACTCCTGATTCTTAGGTAAAGACCTTCTCTCTCTGCTGAAGTGGAGCCCGGAAACCTAGTCAAGTATCTTCTAACAGCCCAGCACACACCTGCACCTGTGCTGGTGTTTCTCAAAACACAGACCAATCAAATCCAATCCAATCATATTAGGTTATGCCATTGTGCAAATATGGTCCCTCAAAAGGGATGTGGGGGTTTGTGTGTGTGTGTGGGGTGTCTGAATCTGGAAGCCTGCTTTATAATAAGGGGACTCCCAGATATGTGTCTTCCCTCAGGAGTACATAAGTACTCATTCCCACCAAAAATTTCAAAAGTAAATTATAAAGTAAGCCAAGACTTTACCAATTGTTCTCTTTGAAAATGTACTGAGAACTGATTTATAAATGTCAGCACAGGTGGTTTAAAGTAACAGATAACAAGCAATTAGGGAAGCTGTCTTTTTCCCATTATCTTTTCTTCATTATCAATGCATATGTAAATATCTTTCTTCCTTATGATATTTTTTACTTTGCTGTGTACCTTTGGCCTCACATATGCGGACTACTGAGCATGTATTTTGAACATTTAAATGTCATGTGTGTGCAAAGAGAAATAGCTGCTGGAATTACTGTAACATAACTAAAGCTGCTAGTCACAGAAAGTGCAGCTTACAGGAGCCTCAGGAGAGAAGAAGTGAAATCAAGGAAGTGTGTAGCTATGCCAAGCTATGCCACTACAAAATCTGTAAGGGTCTATTCACACCATGTGCGGTAGGACTCTGTTGGGTGACTATTCCAGTGCAGTCCCACCATAAGACAAGGCAAAATGCCTTGTCTCCTATCTGGCCAGTGTCTTTACGGTGTGACTGCACTGGAATGGCTGCCCAAAATAGCTTTACCACACCTGGTGTGAATAGACCCATACAAATTTTGTAGTTATATGGGCTATGTTGGATCAGTATGGCATCCAAGCAACTAAAACTTTTGAAACAAGTAAGCAATGGTTGACAACATATTTCTCACAGCGCAAGTTTCTTGAAGGCTAAAAGACTGCAGTTTTACTTTAAAAACTAAAAAAAACTGCTCATCTTCACACATAAGTTCTATTTATTAACTTTTCCTCTATTGTGTGTGTACTTTGCAGATGCAACCCATTTTTTAAGCTTGGTTAATCCTGAATCCATACAGCATATAATCATTTTAATGTGCTTCATTTTGCTAATTTGAAAAACACATAGAAAAGTAGTCTGTTCAGGGAAGATATGACAATTCATGAACAATCCCTTTTTATAGTATGTTTTATTATTACAAATGCAATCTTTAATTGTCCCCTTGTTCAGGGGCTGAGAATAGGATACTTGTTCCGATGCCAATATCTTCTGGTGCCAACATTAGTGGATTATTGTAGCATCCCCTCTTCCTAGTTCCCGGCTATAGGTCTCCTAGTGCCTTCTCATGTTTCTGCCTGATAATGAGAGCAACATTTTAAACACATTGATAATTCAATGTTTAAATACCCATACAGAAGGATTACTTGGGATTATATTGGCGAGATGTTTACTCTGGAGAAGCCATCATTGCGTCAATGATATAATCACTTATTGTCAATTGTTTGATCAAAGACTTTTAAGTCATTTTCAAGAATGAGAATCTGGTTGTTCAGTATGTCCTAGTTTCAAGTGACTTTTTGATTCTTTAAAGACTTGTGCTTCCCACACTCTCATCAATACTGCATCTGGTTTTTGCTTAGATTTGGATGGAATTTTTGTATTCTACCCATGGCACTAGACTGATTTGCTGTTCAAATTTGGCCCACAACTTAAATAAAATGTGAATCAGTTTGATTTAAAAGATAGTTCAGAGAACAGGAGATTTTCTCCCCTTTCACCCACATGACAGTTCTGGTGATTGGTGATTGGATTCTCAGGACCCCTGTGCTGTGACATGGGCAAGTTGTGATTTGGTGCTTACACAGAGCTCCCAGTGGTGAGCGGAGCTTCAAGACAGTGAAATGATTGGAAGTATAATCTGCAGGGGCTGGCATAAAAGTAAATCCGCTTTGCCTTCCATGGGGTATGGGTGCACTGTAAGGGTGTGTTTTAAGGTTTCAAGGTTTGAAGACTGCTGTGGGGCATATGAGAAGGAGTTCCAAGGAAGGGGAGAAGCACATGAGAGGTCCTGGTAGCATAAATGTGAGAAAATGAGTAGTGTGGAAGAAAGGAGAAGATTGTGCATGCAGTGGTAGAAGTGGTTCACACTGGGATGTTATGTGGACATTTGTAAACCAATCTATGGAGGGGCAGAATTGTAGTCTAGGGTTTGAAGTCTAAGCTTACTTTTCTGATTAATTGGCAGCAACTGGAGATACTGGCAGAGAGGAGGATAATGCCTATACTATATGACACACTTTATTGCCAAAAGTATTGGGACACCCCTCTAATCATTGGATTCAGGTGTTCCAATCACCTCCATGGCCACAGGTGTATAAAATCAAGCACCTAGGCATGCCGACTGCTTCTACAAACATTTGTGAAAGAATGGGTCACTCTCAGGAGCTCAGTGAATTCAAGTGTGGTACTGTGATAGGTTGCCACCTGTGCAATAAATCAATTAGTGAAATTTCCTTGCTACTAAATATTTCACGGTCAACTGTTAGTGGTATTATAACAAAGTGGAAGCAACTGAGAACAGCAGCAACTCAGCCAAGTGGTAGGCCACGTAAAATGACAGAGCGGGGTCAGCGCATGCCGAAGCACACAGTGCACAGAAGTCGCCAACTGTCTGCAGAATCAATAGCTAAAGACCTCTAAACTTCATGTGGCCTTCAGATCAGCATAACAACAGTGCGTAGAGAGCTTCATGGAATGGGTTTCCATGGCTGAGCAGCTATATCCACTCACACAGGTGTTCTATTATATTTAGGTCAGGTGAGTGTGGGGGCCATTCAATGGTATCAGTTCCTTCATCCTCCAGGAACTGCCTGTGTACTCTAGCAACGAGGCCGGGCATTGTCATGCACCAGGAGGAACCCAGGACCCACTTCACAAGCGTAGGGTCTGACAATGGGTCCAAGGATTTCATCCCAATACTGTGGTTACATGGTCCCTACATAAATGTATTGTATCGACTTCATAATTAATGCAAAGAGTTCTGTGATTGGAAGAGGTGGAGAGTGTGTCGTCAGACTCTCAAAAAAGTCAAAATTGTCAACCAGCTACTATTTAGTTACAAGACCCCTCACCAGGGCTGACCATTTGGGCCGGGGTCAGTGGGGGGCCCTATGAGATGCCCCTTGTACCTTTTTCATAGGCTTTTTTGAGTTTGGGCAAGGACACAGGGGCCACATGATACCCTATTGCCCGGGGGGCCCCATGAGTTGTCAGTCCGCCCCTGCCCCTCACTGTACAGTTGTATCACAAGCAGCAAAGGATCACTGTATCCCTTGTGAGATGCTATGTATACTCAAAATATAAGTGCCCAATGTCATACCATATGCAAGCAAAATAATACTAATCTGATTCCAACACTGTGTGTAGTGCTCTGCACAGAAATACTAAAATGCACCAAAAAAGGAACAAATTATAAACAAGATAAAAAAGGTGAAAGAAAAAGGTGAAAAAAAAGGTTAAAAAAAAAAAAAAAAAAAATAAATATATATATATATATATATATATATATATAT